CTATTTCGAGAGAATTAGAGAGYTGATCGACTGAAGGAATGTTAATTTAAGAATGAGTGAGAGAGGAGAAAAAATATTGCTTTTTTATTTTGTTTAAAATTAATTTACGAATAAAAAGTTGAGTAGTATTAATTAGATAGGTTTAAACCATATTGAAAGAAAATTATACAATTTATACTCTTGTAGTCTTGTATTTAGTTGAGTGAGTTAAACTTTCCTTCGTGCTAATTTCATTGAATATTAACTTAAATTTGAATAAGTTATGAAATTTAATCGGTTGGTTTGGCTAAGGTACTTCTTTCTATTTATTTACGGATTTTAATAGCTTTATTACAATTTTCTAGCCCTTTTATTCATTTCATTATTTTTAATTTAAGCCCTGAATTCTATGGATAAAATTAAAGTTTTAATGTTTAAATTTATTAATGTCAACTAAATATGTAGTGGGAAAATATTGTATTAATTAGCTGTTAACAATTTCTTTGTTTGTTATGGCTTATGATCGGATCCTTCTTATTATCTAGATATTAATATTAAAATAAATGAGGAAGTTTAGAATAAGCCCTTCCTTTTTCATTGAGCTTTAATGAAAAAGGATATCTAACCATTGTTGGGTCTTATTTCTTACCTTATTATGATAATGATTGGACATGTCATTAGTTGATTTTTAATCATTAATATATCATTTAACCACCGATGACAATTTAATTCATACATCTTTTCATTGGATATTTTAATTTTTGTCAAGGACAGACCCTTTTATTTGATGGAGCCGAGAGACAAGAAAAAGAAAACGCTTATCATCAAGAATGATTACGCAAATGGTGTAGTTGTTATTGTCATGATCGTTCAACTTATAAGCAAAAGGTATGCTTTTAATCTCTAAATTTTATTTTTAGTTCAATAAGAGATGAGATTCAAATTTTGATCTTTAAGAAAGGTAAGTAATATTTTGACCTGTTGATGAACTATGACTTCCGTGTCCAAAAGATGAAGTTTCCACCCATATATGTGCTATGTCAGAGGGTATTTTTTGGGCAAATTCTCAAATTCCTATTGTATAAAATTTCCATTGCATATATTGGTTATATATAAATTTCCAGCAATATAATAAGAATGGAAAAATTCCAAGATGTTCTTAATTTGAATTATTTACATAATTTCGCGGACATCAACATAGTGTTAAGAGTCTCACATAAAAATAAATAAATAAAATAAAGAGATTTAACAAAATGTATATATTTATAAGAATTGTCAATTGATTTATTTGTAGCATGTATGTGAATTATGCAAAATTAAAGCGTCAGTTGCTGAAACTTTAAGTTTGTGTATTCTTATTTTTCTTTTATGAACTTGTGAGTAAAATAAGATAAAGATGTGGTATATATAAAAGATGAGTTTTTACAAAACTGTAATTGGCCAAGTCCTCATGGTAAGCTATAGATACCATGAGATCCAAAGTCCTCTTACTCATGTTATATTTTCTCCAACAAAACTAGAGTCAAGAAAAGTATCGGGAAAGGTTATGCAATATGGTTCCATGAGCATTGTGAAGCATAGACTTATGCCAATGAATGGAAAAGAAAAAAAAAATGTTGACATAACTTCCTTTGGTGAAGAAAAAATAAGGCGTCGACAAGACTACTTTTGATGACGAAATGACAATTTCATTGGCAAAATCTTCTCCCAACATGGTTATATCGATGGTTTTCTTAAGAAAAAAAAATCGTCTAAGAAAAATTTATGGCTTAGCAATTTGGACGAAACGTTGCGTTGAAAAAGGTTTAATTTCTTGTAGTAGAGAAAAATTATTCCTCTAATAAATTCCTCAATATAACTTGGAAAAATCAAATGTAGGGAAAATATGTTTATAAAATAACATCAGAAAAAAAAACCATTTTGGGTGATTCATTGGTCCAGAGGAAAATTGGGAGGAAATGAGTTTGAACTCTATGATGGACTCTATGATGGACACTTATGACAGGACATAAAAATTGGATAAACCACTTTTGAACTACAAGGATTGTTACAATTAAACCTAAAATTTTAAATTCAAGAAAAAATAATATAAACTATGATTCATATCTATTATCTAAATTCTTGAAATAAATTTGTTGATTAATTGTTTTTGTTCCGCGCTTGTTAATTTGGATTCGTAGTGCCAATAATGGTGGTTTGGTAGAGAATAAGTGTTGTTCATTGAATTATTCCGACCATCCAAATGAATTTTTTTTATATTCGTAAGTGTTCGAATCAGCTAACTTGCGTGCAACCTAATAAATTAATTATATAGGTGGCAATCATGGGTTATGACATATTCCCTCAAAATTTTTGGTACAAATTTGTTAGAATGATTTTAATTTTTAATGTTATAATAAATCATGAGAGGTAGTAATTGGAACCTTTAATCTATAAACAAAAGTTACTTCAATCTAAAAAATATATATATTTAATAATGTGTCATAGCTTAGAAGTTTTAAGGATATAAGAGTGGCCCACCCAGCTAAGTACAAGAATATATGAAATAAAATTTTATGGCTTAATTACAAAAGTACACTAGAAAATTTCCCCTTTATTTAAAACATATCCTTCTCCTTCCGAAAGTTTGAATAATAGCCTCCAATTTTCATAAAAGTTTTAAAAATATCTTATAAGCAAACATCCGTTAATATTTTAAATGGAAAATTGACATGCCAAAATATGGAACGACGTGACAATTAAGTTTGAAAAGAGAGAAAAATAGAGAAGATGTTATCATTTTTAAAAGGAGATTAATTATAACAAATTTGGGTAGATAATGGAGGAGCAAAACTCTGTTAACAATGAAGAAAGAARACTTTTAAGACAAATTTTGTGATATGAACTTTTATTGTCAATGAAACAACTATTTCAATTTGTCACTTCATTTCAATTTTCCATTCAAAATATTAATTAATGTTTGTTTAAAAATTTTTTTTGAAATGTTTATGAAATTTAAGGGTTGTATTGAAACTTGACAAAATGTAAAGGTACTTGTAATTTAATCAAATATTTTTATTATAAAGAATTTTGACGGAATAAATTCAAATAGAATAGTAAAATCCTTTATGGGCTTTGAGACGAGAGTTGGAGTTTAGGTCGGTTTTACTTAAGATGTCGAGTCCATATTTACCTCGTAAATTTGTTAAGCTTTTTTTTAGTACGACATGTGGGGTGAAGGTTCGAACTCACAATCTTTTGATTTGAGATATATGCCAATTAGTATGTTCACTTTGGCAAAGATTTAGAAAGAAAAAATAGTGATCCACATCAAGCATTTTCAGTTTATTGAACAATCCTACCCCAAACCTACTCAAGCTTAAAAGATGATGAACCCGTATTGCAAACACCCCGAGCCTAGAAGTTAGGATAATGAGACACTAGAAAATTTCCAATACTAGAGTATGAATAGAACATTGCTTCCCTTCTTTCTTTTTCTTTCTTTCTCGAGAAAAGATTACTTCCATGGTTAACAACTTTAGCATCACTTACGAATGATGTCAGATCCGCAAATATTAAACAAATGGTCAACGCCTATCTTCATGCTAGTCACACTAAAAATAATATACATATGCACATATGTAAATAAGTGAAGTAATAGAAAGAGAAGACAACAGGAGATCTCTATTCATTACACCCCTAATAGGTTGGGGCGCACCTCACATCTCGCACAGTGGAACTGCTGTCTCATTCAACTACATTTGTTCATATAATTCATACCTAATAGAATGCAGCAGCGAGGGGCAACTTGCCCGTACAATTAGCAAGGAAGATGGCACTATTGACAAAGACCATTTGGCAAAAACTTCACAGGTGCGAAGCGTGGTAGGCTTGCATTGGGGGAGCATAGCATAGACAGGAAAGGAAGCCCAGACGGTGGAAGAGCTAAGGGAGGCTGGGTCATTTAACGAAAATTGAAGGCTGTTTTCCTATTAAAAAATATATTTCTCTCTTTTACCTGTCAAAAATTTAACTAAAAAGACAATTGGACGAAAACATGAGGATGACCAATAAAAAATAAGAAAAAATTATTTTTATTTTTGTTGGATTGGTATTTTAGAAGAAGGGCGTTGGATTTTGGGAGGAGCAAGTGGGAAGATCGTATGGGGGGCGTTAGA